TCCTCTTCCTCCTCCTCCTCCTCCTCCATCTCTTCCTCCTTCTCCTCTACCTCCTCCTCCTCTACCTCCTCCTCCTCCTCCAGGCTCCAACCCGTCGCCCAACAAGGGCTCCCTGGTGGTGGTGACCTTTGGGTCCCGGTCCGGAGGCCTGTGGTCCGGCCGGATCGTGGAGATGCAGGGTGAGTCGGTGCTGCTGGGCGTCACGCCGACGGCCACGGCCATCGTGGGGAAGTACCGGACCTACGTGGCCATCTCAGTGGGCAGCGGCATGCAGCGGACCAAGAGGGACGCCGGCACCGACCTGTACCTGCTGTTCAACGCCTGGTGTCCAGGTAGGAGTCACCCCCTGCTGGCTGAGACGGGAACTGCTGCTGTCAGGTTGATTACAGCAGCAACGAGATTATATTATATTATATTATATTATATCATATTATATTGTTTTATATTGTATTATGTTATATTATATTATGTTATGTTATGTTATGTTATGTTATGTTATGTTATATTATATTATATTATGTTATGTTAAATTGTATTATGTTATATTAAATTATATTATACATGTACAATGACTAAAAATTAATATTTTAATAATATATTGAAATAATATGTACTGATGAAAACATTTATGGATTTAAAATGACAGACTCAACGTTTCTTTTCCTGTCGAGAGTCACTGAACTATTAATCTTGAACTTCACGATCTTTATGTAAAAAAATAAAATGAAAGAAATGTGTTTAAATTAGACGTGTAAATCTGTCATTTGGTTTTTGGAACTTTTTCACGACTTTTGCGTATTAAAAAAATAAATCGTAAACTAAAACGTGCAAAATCTGTTTAAAAATCTACCAATTTTCCTGATTTTGATGCTGTTTCAGTTTGTCGAGGGATCGTTATTTTTCTATTTCTAAGTGCTTTATTAAAAAAATCTGATTGATTGACTGATATTATTCCTACTACATCCACCAGGGGGCGCTATTACTTTACATAACAATCATCTTATTGGATGAGTGACGCTCACGACCTCTTGAGGTCCTTCAAAGAGCAGCTTGTGGGTTAACTTTGTAATAAACACGTAGCTACGTCACAGTTCCCGAAAAGTTGACGCACGATTTTACATCTTTTATGGAAAAATTATCAGAAAAAAATGCGTTTCTTTGGAATTCCCCGAATAAAACGCAACGATGGGTTGCAGGTTGTTAACTTGTGAAACTGAACATTTTCGGGATCTAATTCGTCTAATTTTGACGTCTGCGATAATTTACTCGTTAGCGGTTGAGCTTGTAGCTCTCGTGGAGCTTCAGCGTGAAGTTTAGCTCGTTGTTTAGGCGTCAAACTTTCCTGTTTCGTAGCTTTTGGTGGAAACTGTAGCGCTACCGTTTAGCAGCTAACGAGCCACGTTTCCCTCAGGAGGTGGTGGAGACCAAAAACGGAGCAGAAAGAGGGCGAATGTTGGACCTCGAGGCTCCAAACTGACCTGATCCGTAGCAGAAGTGGTGAAATACTTTGTCTGTTTGCAGAGGACCCGGTGTTTCTCCCGAATGACTCGGAGCGGATGGAGTACGTCCTGAACGACATTGGCATCATCTACCAGGGCTCGATCGGCGCCATCGTTACCAGGAACTGGAACTACGGACAGGTACGCGAAAACGCCAAAAACGCAAGCGCCGCTGACAATCCGCAAGTCGCGCTAACGCTAACGTCTCGTCGCAGTTCGAGCGAGGCATCCTGGACGCCTGCATCTACATCCTGGACGCGTCTCGGATGCCGATCTACAACCGAGGCAACATCATCAAGCTGGTCAGGAAAGGATCCGCCATGGTGAGGAAACACCGCCCATGTCTGGCTTGTTCCTTCTGCTCCACCAGCTCTGGTTTGCTTGAAAACTTTCGGTCTCAAACTGCTGACGTGTGAAATGGTGTCTGTGAAATCTTAGCTCGGTACGTCGGATGCTGTCCGACATATTTTTTTCGTAGAAATCGTCAATCGACCCAATTTCAAAACGTTTATTCACACATTTAAATTCAACGTCTCAGCAACTATTGATGGTAAAAAGCCTGAAATGTGCTCGTGGCAGCACATAGCGCCACCGGGTGACAAGACACGAAGCTGCACCCTTCAAAATAAAAGTCTCAAATAAGATCAGTCCTAGATTTTTAGAACAGTTTCTGCTCGACCCACATGGTTCTTCATCCAGCAGGCCAAAACATACACGACCCCCGTCAGCTGTGAGACAAACTTGTTGTCCGTCCGTCCTCAGATCAACTCTCAGGACGATAACGGCGTCCTGGTGGGGAACTGGAGCGACGACTACTCGATGGGCGTGGCCCCGACGGCCTGGACCGGCAGCGTCGCCATCCTGCAGCAGTACGCCAACACCGGGGTGCCGGTGTGCTTCGCCCAGTGCTGGGTGTACGCCGGAGTCTTCTGCACCTGTACGGGGACACACAACCGACACGCAACACACTGCACACCAGACAGGAAGCAGNGTTGTGTGTCTGTTCGGTGCTTTTATTCCAGTTTGTGTTCTTTTTAAAGCCTGTTTTTGTGCCTTTTGTGTCTCTTTCAGTTCATTTTAATCTCCTTGTTGTGTGTTTGTCAGCTTTAGTGCTTATTTGTGTTCCTGTTGTGAGTCCTTCATTGAGTTGTGTTGTCGTCCTGATCAGTTTGTGAGGGTTCACGGCTGTTTTTGTTCATGTTGTGTCTCGTTTAATCCGTTTAAATCCTATTTTCTGCATCTTTGTGTTGGTTTTGTGTCTGTTTCGGTCAGTTTGTATGTTTGTGCTCGTTGTGTGTCTGCAGTGGATTTATGTGTGTTTCGGTCCATTTGAATCCGGTTCTGGTCGGTGTTTGAGTCCGTTTGTGGTCATCTTGTCGCCTTTCGCTCAACAAACAAGTCGATCTTTTTCACTTTTTGTTGTTTGTGTTTCTTTTTAAAACCTGCTTTTAGTTTTTTAATTTCCAACCTTCTGGCAGAACTTCCTCAGAACCTCATCCCGAACCTTCTTGTGGACCGCCATGACGCCTCCGACCAGCACCACCTACAAGGGCCGCTACAGCGAGCCGGTAACCATGACGACCACCAGCACCACGGTACCGCTCCGTCTCCGAACCGACCAACCAGCTCTGCTCTGCTTCTCGTCCACCTCCAGGTGCCGATCGCCAACCTCCAGGACTACGGCGACGACTTCGCCGAGTTCGAGCCGTTCGACGGCATCGACGAGGCCGCGCCGCGCTCGTACCCGGGAGGAGGTGAGGCGGCGCCGCTCCACGGTCCACCGGGCCGCCGGGGGTCCAGCCGGGGGTCCAGCCGGGCCGCCGGGGGTCCAGCCGGGCCGCCCCAGTGGACCGTGGAGTAACGCCGTGTCCGTCTCTCCTCAGACGCCCTGACGGTGGAGAACATCAACATGTGCCAGAACATCAACAAGCCGAACCACTTCAGCGGCGCCTACGACACCCAGAACCTGGTGGTCCGGCGCGGCCAGGAGTTCGTGGTCCGGGTCTCCTTCAACCGGGCGCTGGTGCAGCAGGACGACTTCCAGCTGGAGTTCCTGATCGGTGAGTCTGGTTCTGGTACCGGGTCCTGTAGAATAAACAAATCCCAGGCAGACGGAACCACCGACTTCTGGTTCTGTCGGAACTAAAACAAACAAACAAAATCGTTTTTAACTGGATTCTGTCAAATCCAATAAAGTCTGCGCTCCTGAACGCAGCAGCGGCCCGTCAGTGACGTCACCGGTCACATGACGGGAAACCAGGAAGTCTTTGGGGTTGAACTGCAGGCGGTGTGTTTGTTTACTATTAAAACAACAACAACAAAGTAAACTTTAAATAAAAGGAACCTGGAGGCGAAAAAAAGTTCAAAATAAAAGTCGCTAAAAAAAATAAATAAATAAAAATCAGCAGCGGACTCACAATCATGATGGTTTTATTAATTAAAGCAAATGTTTTTATTTAATCTTATTTCTATGTTAAATAAAATGTATTTTCTTGATTTTTCATATATTTTAAAATATGTTTAAAAGCAGNTGTTGTGTGTCTCTTTGTGTCGTGCCCTCCAGGCCTCTGACCTCCACATCAGCGCCGCTCATCTTCTCCTTTAACTCTTAATGTCGGTGCGACGCTTTGAGGCGGAGAGTGAAGCTGAAGATGACTGAATGACCTCAGAGAAAACACACTCACACACTCACACACACACACACACACACTCACACACACTCACTCACACACACTCACACACACACTCGGCGTGGTAGCGTTTGTGTGTCTGTGAATAAAACGTGTGGATCTCGACTCGACTCCTGCTGACATCAGCTGAATCCGTCTTTGCTGCATATTAACACAGATGTTTCCCTGCAGCGACGCACACACACACACACACACACACACACACACACACACACACAGAGTTTCTATCACTTCAGAGGACACCTCGTCGACTCTTTATATGAAAATTTTATGACTTACATTTTGTCGGACGCCGACCAGATGGAGGTCCTCACAACATCATGACACACACACACACACACACACACACAAATAACTCTGTGTGTGTGTGTGTGTGTGTGTGTGTGTGTTGACCCCGTTGTCCGTCCTTGGCTTTGACCTTCAGCCGTCCAATCAGACGCCGGTTCAGATTCGGACTTCCTGCTCTTTGTCCCACTTTCTCCTCCTGCAGCGTTGTGCGCTTGGCCGCTGCCCCCTGCTGGCGGTCGGAGGAGGTGCGGTCGGAGGGCCTCCGGGGGCCACGAGGGCCACGAGGGCCTCCAGGGCCTCTGGGGCCTCCACGGCCTTGGGGGCCTTTGGGGCCTCCGGGGCCTCTGGGGCCTCCGGGGCCTCCGGGGCCTATGGGGCCTCGGGGGCCTCGGGGGCCTCCGGGGCCTCCGGGGCCTCCGGGGCCTCCGGGACTTCCTGTTCACGTCGACGAGTCGGTCGCATCCAGACATGAGCAGATCTTCAGCTTACTGATCGTTCCTCTTTATCTTCAGATTTTTTCTTCTCGCTGAACAAACCAGAACCTTTCAGAACCTCTGTGTTGTTTTGTTTGTGTTCTGCAGAACCAGACTGATTCTAACTGACTCTCGTTTTTCTTTTTCTTTTTTGCTTAATCTTGTTTTCTTCCGTCTTATTTAAGTGTTTGATTTAGGGTTTTTTTTTTAAGTCGTCTTATTTTATTTGTTTGATTTTATTTTATTTTTATTCTATTTTAATTTTATTTTACTCCAGACGGACTTTATGTTTAATTTAGTTTTAATTTAGTTTAATTTTATATTTGATTCTAATTTTAATTTAATTTGTTTTTGTATTTTTTTCTTTTTCATTTAAATTTTGTCTTTTAACCTCTTGTCATTTTTATTTAGCATTTTATATTTTATTTTATATTTTATTGTTCTCGGTCTTTGTTTCTATCTTGTTTTATTATTATTTTTTAAAATTCTGTTCATTTTTTTCTTTCTCTTTGTTTTCTTGAGTTTTATTTTATTTTATCTCTTGTTTTCCTCCATGTTTTATGTATTTTGTTTTCTTTGTTGAGTTTTATTTCTTCTTTTTTCTTTGTTTGTTTAATTTAATTTAGTTTAATTTAATTTAATTTAATTTAATTTTTTTATTGTTCAAGTATTGCTTTTATTTTATTTATTTCATGTTTTATCTAGTTTAATTTTTTTCTTTCATTAGTTTTTTTATTTGTAGTGTTTTATCTGTAATTTAGTTTTATTTATTTTATTTGACTTTTATTATTTTTTATTTGATCTTGAGTTTTATTAATAACTTGAATATATTTGATTTATTCTTCTTCATTTATCTGATATATTTTAATGTGTTTTAACTTGTATTTAGTTTTATTTTGTCTTGTATTATTGGAGTTTAACATAATTAGTTATTATATCATTAATTTCGAGGCTCTTCTCTGTTCGCTGGTTTCACATCATTTCAAACTTTTTTAAACTCTTGAATCTCCTGATTCAGCAGTAAATAAACTCAGCTGGTCGACCAATCAGCTGCAGCGTCCTGCCGCGTCACTTCCTGCTCCAGTTCCTCAGACAGCAGCGCCCTCTGCTGGTCGCTGCAGCTTCCTGCAGCTTCTCTGGTTTCTGTCTCTGTTGTCTTAAAGTTAACATCGAACAAAACACGACGTAGTTTGATGTGACGCGACAGAACATGAACGTTTTTACTGGTTTTAAAAGTTTATCACATAAAAACAAAAATATGTTGAAAGAAAAGAACAAAAATATGAAAATACTGATGAACATCGAGCTCCGGAGTCTCGTTACGATGAAATAAAGAAGTTAAATTAAACAATAAACCAAAAGTTAATGTTCAAAAACAGTCTTTAGCTTTTTATATTTATTAGTTGTTTTTATTGTTCATTTGGTGTTTTTACATCATAAATGAGAATTTATTGTCCTGAACTTTATTTATATCTGAACAGTTTTAGTTTGTGTTGGTTTTAGTGGTCAGATGTCGACTTTTTAAATCCAAATGTAGAATTATTTTTGTCCAAACTTCATCTAGTTCGTCACTCATTTGTACCTCGTTATGTTTATTGACACCGTTTACTAAATTTGAGGTTTTTAATTTACTTATTTATTTTATTTGTTGCTGTTGAGGTCCAATAGTTTCCTTTTTATCTCATCATTTGTACTTTTTACTTCAAAACCTCAATTCAATGAGAAATAAAAATAATTTTTCCTTCTAATAAATATGAAAAACTTTAATTTAGGAGTTTTTTAAAATCTCCTAATCTTGATTTTTACGTCGTATTTTCGTCACGACTTTATTTCTTTTGTCCAGATCATCGTTTGTGATGAAGATTAAGTCAAAGTCTGAGTTTAGTTTTTACATTTTATGTCCCAACTTTGGTGTTTTTTCTAATAATAAATGTTTTTCTACGTTTAGCGTCGATGTATTGAATCGTTTAGTTAAAATCAGTGAACATGTCTTTTGGTCTGATTCTGACCTTGTTTTCATTCCTCTCTGCTTTCTGATGTTGTTCTGCTGGAGGACCGGTTCAGTAAAAAGCTGCTGACTCGTCCACCTGCTGCTGTTTCACTTCCTCACGTCGTCGTTTCTTCCTGATTCGGAGTCGAGTCGACCTGCAGCCGGATTCTCTGACTTCAGGCCACAGAAACCGTCCAGAGTCGCCTCAAACTGTCAAACCACAGAACAAACAAAGACTTGTGATCGGATCAGCAGGTCCATCTGAGCTTCCTCTGTCTGAACCGAGCCTCTGGGGGACCCAAACCACAGGTTGGGAACCACCCGGAGCTCCCAGATTATCTCCAATAAAACATTAAAAACAGCATTTAACTCGTTTTACCGTAAACGACGAACATTTAAAACGTCGTCTGTGGAACGATTTTCATAAATTAAAAAAATAATAATTTAAAAAATGTCTGTTTTTTTTTTTTTTTCCGGCTGTTTGAACGTTGATTTTTTTTATTCTCTGAAACTTTTAAGTTGAGCAGAAATAATGAAATAACACGTTAAGTCTATTTTTTCTGACTTGTTTTACTTATTTATTCACAGATTTTTAAACCTTCTTTTCCAGCATTTTGGACATTTTGATTTTTTTCAAAATATATATTTTATTTATTTTTTCAATGCCATTTTTCTGCACCTCTAATGTTTTTTTATTTTTTGAATTTACTAATTTCTGTCATTTTTATTTTATTTTTATTTTTATTTACTAATTTCTGCTATTTTTTATTTTATTTTATTTTATTTTTTACTAATTTCTGCTTTTTTATTTTATTATTATTATTTATTTACTAATTTCTGTTATTTTTGTTTTATTATTATTTTTATTTACTAATTTCTGTTATTTTTATTTACACTTTGTAACTCAGGCTTTTATTTATTTTATTTCTATTTTTTAAATTTTATTCTCTCTCTTTTTTCTTTATTTTTTTGCTTTTTGTCTAATTTCTTTCTGTGTTTATAAAATTCCTAAATTGCACATGTTGTTGTTTTGTTTAACGTCTTTATCTAGTTTTTGTTTAATTATTTTTTTCAATTTTGTCTCATAATTTATTATCTTTTTTTTTTCAATTTAAAGTTTTTCTGCTTTTTTTAAATGTAATTTTTAAAACTGATTTTTGTTTGTTTTTTACTTTAAATCTCATATTTTATACAGTAGCTCCTTTTTTTTTTACACTTCTGTTCTGTTTTCTGCTTTTTATATATATTTTACTTTATTTTTAATTATTTAATTCACACGTTTATTTGCTATATTTGCTGCTTGTGTCATGACTTTAGCTTTTTATAAATATTTTCTAATTTTTAAATATTATTTTTGACTCATTAAATCTTTTTTTCCTCCTCCACATTTCTTTTCCTCCTCATCTGATATTTCTACTTTTATCTGTTTTTATCTTTCTTCAGGTTTCGTGTCCAAACGTCTTCTGGACGTTTTTAAAATCCAAATCTCACCAAAAATGTTCTTTTTTTTTTTTTTGTCATTGTGTGTTTTTGATCTTGACAAACTTTAAAATCATTTTTATTGTTGTTTAATTCATTTATTTGCGTCTTTCTGTGGTTTAAACACCGACGGCGTCAAAGCGATCCAGAGTTTCATTCATTCGTTTCCTCTGGTTGGAAACAGGAAGTGGATCCGACCAATCAGCAGCAGCGTGTCAGGACGACCTGAACATTTTTAACACGTCGATTATTTTCACGTGAAACCAGAAAACTGCTTTTCTGGCAAAATAAAGAAGAAGATCTTTAAAAAAACACAACATTTATGTCTTTAAGGCCCGTTTGTGTTGGTTTTGTGTCTCTTTTAGTGAATTTTAAGACGTTTTATGAGCGTTTCATGTCTGTTGTTCTGTGTTTTGTGTCTCTTTTATTGTCGTTCTGGTCACTTTGTGCCAGTTTGCAGCTGTTTCATGTGTATTCTGCTTTTTCAGTTCATTTTAATCTCCGTGTGGTGGGTTTGTCAGCTCTAATGCTTATTTCTGTTCATATTGTGAGTCCTTCATTGACTTTTGTTGTCTTCCTGATCAGATTGTGAGTGTTCACGGCTGTTGTGTGTTTATTTGTCTTCATTTTTGTGTCTCTTTAGCTCAGTTTAAATCTATTTCTTGTCACTTTGTGCGTCGTTGCAGCTGTTTTGTGTGTATTTATGTTCATTTAGTCGGTTTTAATCTCGTTTTGTTCGTCTTTGCAGCGTTCTTTGCTTATTTGTGTTCATTTTGTGTATTTTTTTGTCAGTTTTAATGTCTTTTATGCCTGTTTCTGTTCATGTTGTGAGTCCTTCTTTGAGCTTTGTTGCCTTTCTGACCGGCTTGTGAGGGTTTGCAGCTGTTTTTGTTCATGTTGTGTCTCTTTTAGTCAACTTAAATCTAATTTTGTGCGTCTTTGTGGAGGTTTTGTGTCTTTTTCGGTCGGTTTTGACGTCGTCCTTATCAGTTTGCATGTGTTTGTGTTGGTTGTGAGTCTCTGTTCAGTGCTTTTAGGCCAGTTTGTGTTCGTTTCTTGTCTTGTTGAGCCTGTTTTTGTGCCTTTTGTTCGTCTTTCAGTCGTTTTAATCTCTTTACGTCCACTTTGTGTCTGTTTATGTCGACTTTCTGCCTCTTTCAGGCCGTTTGTGCGTCTCTGCCGTCGCTTCACGCCCAGTTGTGCTCGTTGTGCGTCTGTTGTTGTTCACTTTAGATGGTTTGCGTCTGCTGTAGTCGGCTTTGTGTGTCTGCAGTGGATTTATGTGTGTTTCAGTCATTTTNTTTTTGCATTTTTCACTACATTTAAGCAAAAACATCAACATTGCACAGATCTGTGACGTCACCTGAATGAATACGTGTATTTCAGGCATTAAAAACTCATTTATTTTCGCGTTTTTCCAGCAAAACCACATCTTTAAAAAGTATTTCTTTGCATTTTGACTTCAACAGAAACCAACAGTCGTCGTTTGTTCCTGTGTGCGATGCTAAAACTGCCCTCTTCCACTTTGTTTAAATCTTCTACAAATGTAATAGTTGTGCAGATGTTTGCTCTGTTTTCCTTCAGGGACACAACATTCCTCACATTTTTAACGTTTTTTTAATTCTTTATTTACTGTGACAAACGTCTCTCGCCACACGGTGGTGGTTCTGATGAGTCCGTTACCGCTGCAGGTGAACAGCGACGTGGTTTTCCACAAGAGGGACCGCTACGGGACCATGCAGGTGTTCAAGGTGGACAAGACCCACGTGGGCCAGGGCCTCTTCACCAAAGCTCCGGGCAGCAGCCAGATGCTGGACGTCACGCACACCTACAAGCACCCCGAAGGTAAAACCCTCAAACGCCGTGAACAGAAGGTGACGCTCAGCGTTCAGGTTCCCGGCGGCGGACTGATCTGTGTTTGCAGGCAGCGCGGCCGACAGCAGGACGATGACCCGGGCGGAGGAATACGGCTGTGAGAGGGACCACTCCGACGTACCGGACGGACAGCTGAACGCCGAAATCACGTCTGAGCTGGTAACACATCTGTCTGAACATCTGGGCACGTTTCAGTCCACCTGTACGCCAACAAAACAAGTTAAATACGAGGTTACAGACAGACTGGACTTCCTTTGACGTTTCTAAACAGCTTCTACTTCGTTTAACTCTGAGAGCTCACAGCCTCGAACAACAAAAATAAGTTGTAGTTGAAATACTTTGCTGAAAGTCGCGAAAGCGTAGCTAAAACAGCTAAAGCTGGCTAAAAGCTGTTGGTTTATATCGAAAACCTCAAAAATAACGATGCAACAGTTGAAACAGGAACTAAATACAGTAAAAGAATATTTAAAATAAGCTAACAACAGCATACGTAACAGCTGAAATAGTTTAAAATCAGTCGAAAGAGTCGTGGATAGCAGCTGGAATAGTTAGCTAGAATTTAGAGGCTAAATGTTGAAAAAGTTTAACTTGTCAGCTTAAAGTAGCTGATTTATGTTGAAATTGCTAAAAGCTAACAAAACAGTTGCTAAATGAAGGGAATGAGTGTTGAAGAGCTAACAGTAGCACGTGTAACAACTGAAACAGTTAGCTAAATTTAGCTGAATCTGTAGTAGTTAGCAGCTTCAATAGTTAGCTAAAAGCAGTGACTACCTGTTAAAAAAGCTAAAAGTTGTGCGATGCAAGTTGACACTGTTAGCTCAAAGTAGCTAGTAGCTTAATGTAACAGTCGGTGCAGATGCTAAATGTAAAGAATGAATGTTGAAAAGCTAATAGTAGCAGATGTAGCAGGTGAAATAGTTTAAAATCAGTTGAAGGCGTAGTGGATAGCAGCTAGAAGTAGTGACTAACTGTTGAAGTTATGTGTATACTTTATGTTGTTAGCTCAAAGTAGCTAGTAGCTTCATATGACAGTTGCTAAATGTGGGGAATGAATACCGGGCATTGATAGCGCGCGATCTTTGTGGCCGAGGGCGTTGCTGCTTTTTATTGGTTATTAAAGTGTTTACGTACATATTTCTTTGAAGACATCAGAATTGTTCCTAAACAAATAAAACTTGATTCACATTCAGTCCTTAGGCTCTCATTGTCGTCCATCTTGGCCAGAAGCGCGGCCGTTGGACTTGTTCGTCTGTTTAATGTCCGAACCAGAGCATGACGATGCTAAACTGCCCCCTCCAGTGTCGCCTGGCCGAGGACGTCCAGCTGCTGGTGATCCTGGAGAACGGCAGCGACTCCAACAAGACTGTCCACTGCCACCTGGAGGCGTCCGTCGTCTTCTACACCGGCGTGGAGGCCAACCACTTCAAGAACCTGGACTTCACGGTCGCCGTGGCAGCCAAACAGAGTGAGCAGCGCTAGCAGAGGTGCGTTTGTGCGTTTGGAGATGAAGCCGGTAACACTGGGAGTTTGTGTTTGCGTCGCAGAGAACACCGCGAAGGTGAAGATCACGGCGGCGGAGTACATGCCTCACCTGGGCACCCAGACCAGCCTGCACTTCCTCCTGAGCGGATCGGCCGACGACCAGTCGGTGAGCGCCATCAAGGTGATCGAGCTGCAGAGCCCCGGCCTCACCCTGACGGTAAGACGCCCGCGACGCTCCATGCAAGGACGCAGTCTCCGGTAAAATCACAGAAAAAGGCCGCACACGTTGGGAAAAACAAACAAAAGGTCATAACTGTAAATAAGGGGGCGACTCAGGAGCTCAACAGGCTGGTACCGACACGGCGCCATGGTTCCAGTCCGGTCCACCATTATGTCCTTCCTCACTCTGCTCCCGACTTTGCCTTCTCCATTGTCCTCTCCAGTAAAGGCTAAAGGCCAAAAAATAAATAGTGATGAACGATATTAAAACTTCTGGCCGATACTGACATCCGATATTAAGATTTCTGATATCACCGATATCACCGATATCACCGATGTCGATGTTCAATTTTTGTTCACACCGAAAAATGAGTCTCAGTCAGCACTGTGAGAAACTATTTAGAAGAAGCCCAGATGAGACCACATGGTCTGTACTACAAACGTGAAACCTATTTTTAGCATCGTTTCATAGTTTTAAAAGCGGTCCTGATGTTCTGTTCCAGGTGACCGGCCAGCCTCAGGTCCAGCAGGAGATGTTTGTGACGGTGGTCTTCGTCAACCCGCTGAACGAGCCTCTGCACCACGTCTTCATCTACATAGAGGGCGCCGGAGTCATGAGCCTGAGACGCCGCTACTTCGCGTAAACATGCCGCCGACTACGTTAAGCTTTCAACATTGAAGCCGCAAACTGAACGCCTTTGTCTTGGTGTTTCAGTAAAATCGAGCCCCAGGCGACGGTCAGCTTCATGGAGCAGTCCACCCCGCGGCTGCAAGGAACCCGGCGCATCGTGGCGGTGCTGTACTGCAGAAAGCTGAGCCAGGTGACAGGTTCTGCTCATGGTTCTGCTCATGGTTCTGCTCATGGTTCTGCCCACTGATCAAACTATAAACACAGAAACAATCGTTCATTTCACACTTTGCAACAAACTGCTTGTTTGTGACGTGCTGTTCTGTCAGAAAAAATAAAAGCTTAACATCAGTTTATTCCACATTTCTCATTTAAACAGTGAATTATTTCCACCAACTCATATACATATACTTCATATATATATACTTCATAACAGGTTTAATATTAAATTAACATTCTGCTAATATTAGTCGTAAATGCAAAACATATAATCAAAGCTCTGGGTAAGGTGGAAAATAAATACCAGCATGCTAGTAGTAGCCACGCTACTGTAGAATGATACACAAGAGGAAGAAAACAATAGCAAGCCAAAAGATTTTATTGTTTAGCATGCATGCTAACATGCTACTGTAGCTATGTGACTAACAATAGCATGACTTCTATATGATCATGCTAACATGCTACTGCAGCTAAGTGATTGTAAAACACCATAAACAGCAGCATGACTCCTTTGTCATCATGCTAACATGATAACATAGCTATGTGACTGTAAATCCCCATAAACATTAGCATGATTCCTCTTTGATCATGCTAACATTCGACTGTAACTATGTGACTGTAAACCACCATAAACATTAGCATTACTCCTCTGTGATCGTGCTAACATGCTAACATGCTACTGCAGCTAAGTAATTGTAAAACACGATAAACATTAGCATTACGCTGCCGTGATCATGCTAACATGCTACAGTAGCAATGTGGCTGTTAACCACTATAGACGGCATTACTCCTTTGTGGTCATGCTAGCATGCTACTGCAGCTAAGTAATTGTAAAACACGATAAACATTAGTATTACGCTGCCGTGATAATGCTAACATGCTAATGTAGCTATGTGGCTGTAAACCACTATAAACAGCATTACACCTTTGTGGTCATGCTAACATGCTAACATGCTTGTTGTGTTTTTTCAGGTGCATGGTTTCGTCGACATCACCGTTGCCTGACCCGCCTCGCCGCACGCCACCTGTCTGAGTGGGCGGAGCCTGCAAGAAGCGCCACTTCCTGTTGTGATGATTCTTTTTTTTCCTTCTGTGAAATCAGTTTGAAGCTTGAACTTGACGTTCTTTAATCGATTTATTCCTCAGATGTGGAGGTTTGCGTGTCGACGTTTTCCTCTTTATAGAACGGAAACAAACAGAAACAGCTTAAGATGAGATTTAAAGACGTCATTTGTTTCTGTTTTGTTCCAGTTTTATTTTTTCATACAGTTGTTTTCAATCAAAGCAAAGCAAAAACTAATTAGACATGCCCAAATCTTTTTAAATCCAAATTTGACAGAGCATTTGGGTTGTTTTGTTTTTGACAAAATAAGACTTCAAAAGTAAATTCTGAGTTTGACATCAGCTGCAACGGTGACAGAATGAGTCGATGTTAAATGTTAATCAAATCAATAGGAGTGGCCTGTGGGACACAAAAACACCTCCAAGTCTGTGGGATATAAATCAGTTTAATCCTTTATTTCAGTCTCTCTGAATGAAAACAAATGTGATTTTCTCTTTTTTTCTCTCTTCTAATAATGCTGAGCCCGACTATTAACAATAAAAGCAGATTCAAAACCTCTGAAGGTGTCGCTGTCCATTTATTTATTTATTGTTTTCCATTTCTTATTTTATTCCTATTTTTTTCTCTTTTTTTTTGCAAATCATCTTGTTTTTAGTCGTCTACGGTTCTTAAAACAGCTTCAAAAAGTCACTGTTTTGAACTGGAATTGTGCAACGAACATGAACGCATTTCATTTATAACGTGTCAGAGAACTGCCATACTCACTCCAGCCACTAGATGGTGCTGTTGCCTAGATTATGTTGCTCTGCCACTAATGTAATGTACATAAACATATAAGGCGCTTCAAGGCAATGTAAGTTAAAATAGTGTCACACAGCAGTCCAGATCGTGTATATATAAAGATTTCTTAACATTTTAGCTAATTATTCTCAGTCTGTCATAGCTACTGTGGCCACTAGAGGGCGTCTAACGGCTGTTTTAGTTTCAGAAACTGCAGGATGAATCATATTTGATGTGTTTATCCACATTGTTTTCCTAATAAATGCTCTTGACTTTAGTCGTAGCTACTGCGCTGTTTGTGGGAACTAAAATTGACGTATTTTATTCTGGACTTGTTGGATGCCACTAGAGGGCGCCGCAGCTCGTACTTCATCACTCTGGTGGTCCAACATCGAAATGTTAAAAAACTTGTTTCGGTTAGTTTGCTGACATGACTGATGCTGTTTCTTGCAGCCACTAGAGGGCACTTAGCGGGAACTTAGTCACATTAAACATCACAAATTAAAACTTCTGCAAAACAATTATTAAACAAAATATCACATCGAAAAGTCGTATTTTACAAACGATCTTCAAATTGTTACTTTCGGGCGGGTTTGCGTTTGATATTTATTTGTTTTGTCTTAACTTGCTGCTAAACGCCCTCTAGTGGTCATATGAGATATCAACATGCCCCCATCAACAACAGCAGCGCCCTCTAGTGGCCGCAGTAGATATGACAGATTTTGAATATTTTTGTTGTTGTACATTTGTAGTGGAACACAATCAGCTTTGCAACTCTGAGACGAGCAAACGACTAAAAACAGTTTTTGAAAACACAAATGAAAAAGTTTAAGAATTTCACTTGTATGTTTGTTTGTGTTTTGTTTCTAAAATATTTTTTTTACGCGTTTTTGTTAATTTACTGCAAATCGCCCTCTAGCGGTTGAGTAAGAAGGCGTCTCAACAAAAATCACACAATATGTTCATTTGTTCAAACGCCAGAGCAACATGTATTTAAGTTGAAGTGGCAGCGCCCTCTAGTGGCTGCAGCAAGTATGACAATCCTCCTACAAATTATAAATTAAATGCTTTCACTGTTATTGCACATTTCCAGTGCCACAAAATCAGTTTTGTATCTTAGGGAACAGTAAATAGATTTTAAAAAATGAGACATTCATTAAAACACAAAGGTTTGCGTTAAAAATAAATAAATTGTGTATGACGACAACGTTTTTTGACACGGCAATTTAAAAAAATCATTCACCCGGTGAGCAACATTTGCTGTCGTAGTTGTGCTGGTAAATGACTCATCAGCGCCCCCTAGTGGCCAGACTGAGCTGGACCAACATGTATTTAAGTTCACTAGGCAGCGCCCTCTAGTGGCTGCAGAATTTTAAGATAAGATAAGATACGATAAGATATGCCTTTATTTATCTCACAGTGGAGAAATAGTGCAAACAGAATATGAAAAAGGGCTTCTGAATGGGGGGTATATAGAAAAGATATATGTATGTATATATATATATATATAAAAGATAGGGATTAAATATATAATAATAGTAATAATAATAATAATAATAACAATAATAGTAATAGCAATAATAATAACAATAATAAGCAGTGCAAATGTAGATACATACATACATATTTTACGAACTGTTAATAAAATGCTTTCATTTTCTTTCCACTGAAATCAAAACTTTTAACGTCTTGGCCGACAGCTGACTAAAAACTAAAGCAGGAGTTTAAATAAGTTTAAAACTAAAAACTTAAAGTCGAAAAGTTTTATGTTGAAAAGAAACAGATTTAACTTAAATTAATGTTGTTTAATTTGATGAATGAAAGTGTTGGATTGATCCATTTAATCTGCTCAGTAACATTTGCTGTTGTGTTGTTTAACCTCTGCTCAGCGCCCTCTAGTGGCCGATCCTTGCTCTGCTCTGAAACATTTACAATAAACAGGATTTTTCCAGGTTTTTGTTCAGATACGACGGATACTTGATGACAACACGAGGTGAGATTTACACCAGCTGATGACAGTCGTGTAAACTCCACCCGGGACAGTTTGCTTGAAATCCGCTGTTTGTTCTGGTTCCCTCGCTGCTCCTGCAGCTGTTGTGTGTTCATATGAAACACTGCAGACCTTTGGACTGACCTCTGCACACTTTCTGCTGCTGTTTGTTATGTAAGCGCCGGCGCAGTTCAGCAGAGGCGCCACCAGGAGGCGCCGTCGGCCTTTACTGCACCCACGGCCTGCACTCATGTCAACCGGCTGACTTTGTGTGTTTGGGCCTGAAATCATCCAAATATTCCAGCTTTGGTTCTGGAGAAGACGCAGAAACAGAATCTAAGAGGTTTTGTGAAATCCCGTCTGTCTCAGCCTTCAACTGTCTGATGTGATGTTTTGAGCCGTTTGCGTTTCATATTTTCTGGTATTTCTGAGTCACTGGTAAACTGTTAACTGAACATCGAGCTGCTTTTCCACAAAACCGTGAAAATGAAGCAATCTGAATGTGTTCAGTTGGACTTTTGGGGGCTGCAAAAATGCACCTTTTTCAATATTTTCTCACATTTTAAACATTAAATAAAAGAATTTGTAATAAAACAAGTCAAGTGTTGATGATGAAGCTAACAGCTTCGGTTGAAGCGCAGAAACGTCTCGATGGAACAAACGAACGTGATCAACTAAACCTCCACGAGCTGCCTGGACGTCTGATTAACTAAAAATGTGCTAATTAATTTGCAGGCTTGTGGACGAGCCCTTTGTCAGAGTCTAGCTTTAATATGAGCCACATTCCCGACCCAGTGGGGCCTCGAGCACGGTTCCACCCGGCCGCCCCTCGTGGGTTTGGAGGCTCCAGCCGATGCTCCGCCCTCCAACGTCTTCTTAATTAATCACATGATGAAGACCTAAATGATGAGCAGCGATGCTGGGAGGGGCCTCCTGGAGGAGTCGCGCCCCAAAACCCTCCAATCAGCAGAAACTCTGAAGGTCGGTTCAGTTTATTGTTGTTATTATCAGTGAATGAAACCACCTGGTGAGTCTTAAACTAAACCTGAAAACTGTTCGTGTGTCTCTCACAGGTGTCGACTCCTCCCTCCCTCCCCGCCTCAACAACAGCAGGTAAGCCGTCGTCATGGCAACGGTATCTAACGCATCACCAAACTGGTCGGTCCAGATCGGCTCTGACTCGCAAACGCACGCCCGAGAGTCGATTCAGCGACCTGACTTCACCGTTAGCTGCTCAGCGGGGCGCAGTGCCCGTCGCATCCTGAAGGTGGCGCTACGGGAACGGAGCATCAGTGTGAAATAGCATCGTCAACTTCCACTTCAAACAACATAATATTTCAGATTCACTACACTTTATCTGTACCGTCTCTGTGCAGCGCCCCCTGCTGTGTGGACGCCGCAGCTCGCGTGAAACAAGTCGCTCGAGAGCCAAAACAAACGTTTCTATCAAAGCTTTTAGATGAATTAAAACGCATCGCATAAGATCGACACCTTTAGAGACATTTCTGAGGTAAAGTTTGACGTGTCAACGTCAGCGGATTGAAACGCTTTTGGAGCCTCGAGTGGACATTTGTGGAACTGCAGCTTTCAGCTTGAAGCGTCATGTTTCGCATTAAGCTAACTCATGTGTTTAATTTAACCTAAACGTCAGATTTCAGCTGTTTCACGTGGAATCAAACTGTAGTCGGCAGTAGGGGGCGCTGCAGAGAGATGCTAAAGATAAGGTGAATAAAGACAGACGGGTGAATATTTGATATTTTCCGTTAGCTTCATTTTTCATCAGGTTGCTGATTAGCCTCGCCTTAAGCTAAGCTAACTAGCATGTTTGATTTAGCTTTCTGGTTTGTTGCACCAGCGTTTCCTGATTTAAAACTTTCCACTGTTGAGGAGAATTTTTCAAAACCTCGCGTATTTGATGCTCACGAGGTTTGTATGACTGTCAGAGCTTCATTTGCGACTTGTTTCACAACAACACAAACTGTAGGCAGCGGCGGCGTCCACACAGCAGGGGGCGCTGCAGAGAGAAGGTAAAGGTTAAATGGACTGAAGCTCAAATCTGTGATGGTTTTACGGCGAATATTTGATATTTTATGCAGAAGAGTGACAACTTTAAAGCTGTTTCTGCTGTAAGGTGGACGTTTTGACATCCTCGAGTGGACGTTTATGGAACTGCAGCTTTTGGCTTCATGTTTAAACCCTGGAGGTCTCTGCTTCAAGTGGCTTTGAGCTAAAGCTAACTAGCATAGTTGGTTTGACTTTCAGTTGGCGTCCACACAGCAGGGGGCGCTGCAGAGAGAAGTTAAAAGTTAAATACATTTGATATCTTATGCAAAAGATTAAAAACTTTAAAGGTGTTTCTGCGGTAAATGTTGTAATATCGAGAGTTTGGCTATTTTGGAACCTCTAGTGGTCATTTAGGGAACTGCAGTTTTAACTTTATGTTTCAGGCCTGAAGGTTGCTGCTTAGAGTCATGCTAAAGCTAACTAGCAAGTTTGATCTAACGAAAACGTATCAGAGGTCAGCTTTAATAGGCATCGTGCCCACACAGCAGGGGGCGCTGCAGAGAGAAGTTAAAGGTTAAAGAATTCAAACATTTAAAGGTGTTTCTGACTCGCTTTTGGAGCCTCTAGTGGACATTTGGGGAACTGCGGCTTTGGCTTCATGTTTCAGGCCTGAAGGTTGCTGCTTAGAGTCATGCTAAAGCTAACTAGCATGTCTGACTGTCTTCATAGCCAGCTGGAGTGAGAGTTTGAATGCTGGAGTTCTGCTGGGTTCTTCTGAGCGTGTTGTGAAGCGCACGCCGCCGCCGCCGCCGTCCTGCAGGTGAGGAGTCGTCGGCTTCGTCTCCAGCGGACGTGAAGCGTCCCGGAGCTCGCTTTGGTTTCCAGACCTGCTTCGTGCTCCAAAGGCCTCAGGCTGCAAGGCAAACAACTGTTACCTACAAATCATCCGTCACTATTGGAAACCGGTTTTTCTCCCCCTCCTCCCTCCTGCTCCTCCCCCACCACCACCACCATCCTCCCTCCTCCTCCTCCTCCTCCGACTCCTCGATCACATGTCCGAGCTGCATCTTGTAGAACTTTTTTCTTGTTCTTGTGTTTTTTTTCTTTTCTTTGCCACTTTTTTTGTTTTTGTTGCCGCTGTGAGGAAACACAAGGCCGAGGTGAGCATGTGTTTCTGAGGCTGGCCGGCAGCAGCGTGAGCAGCATGTGCTTGTCATCCCCCACACTGCCGACAGGTGTTGGCTTCATGTGACGGCTGCCTGTCCGGACAGCGCTCCAATGGAGGAGGAGGAGGAGGAGGAGGAGTGTGTAAAGTTTCATCAACAACAACTGTGTCAACTCTAGCGTTGGGAAACCCTCCAGCCCAGATCTCCTCTCCGGGCTCAGGGATGCCTCTCCTCCTCCTCCTCCTCCTCCTCCTCCTCCTCCTGCTGCTGCCGCTGCTCTCCGCTGGATGAATGGATGAATCCACCCTTTTGTTGGCGATGGTTCGTTCCTTGGCAACGGCTCCATGGTTACAGTCCAATAAATAACATCACACTCCCTCGGCTGCAGCGCTGGATCTCCGGCCGGGATGCAGGAGGAGAGTTTTCAACTTTGGCCCTTTTTCTTTTTGTCAGTTTCAAAACCAAACTTTTATTTTATTTTATTTTATTTTTTGCCTCAGTGAGCTTTTAAATGCAGTAAAAAAAAAAAAAAAAAAGAAACTTTTTAACTACAATTTTTTAAAAGAAATGATTTAATGTAATTTTACAGTTTTCCCCATTTTGTTAAATTAAAGTTAATATCAATAAAATTACAGAAAAAAGTGTTAATAAAAATAAATAAAAATAAATAAAGTCCACATCAGAAATCTGCATTTTTACAAAATCTAGTTTATTGTTTTATTATTTTTGACCTGAACATTCGACTGTTTCACTCTTTGAAATGAGGAATAAAATATTTTACAGAATTAAAAACTCGTGTTTAATAAAGACGGAAGCCGGTTAAAGAATTAAACTGTTTTATGAAGGAATTAAAAAATAATAAATCTTTATTTTTTAAACAGATTTTCCCAGTTTTTGTCATAATAATTAACAAACCTGTGACTAGATAGATAGATAGATAGATATGCCTTTATTAATCTCACGGTGGAGAAATTCACATCGTTGACAGCAGCTTTCAACAGACGTACACAGATACGACACAGGAAAAAACAAAAAATAAAAAATGTACATATAAATATCAGAATATCAATATCAGAATATCAGAAATAGTGCAAACATATCAGAAATAGTGCAAACATGAGAAATGGGCTTCTGGGAATATAGAAAAGATATATGTATATATATGTATATGTATGTTTATATTTATATATAAAAGATAGGGATTAAGTATATAATAATAATAATAGTAATAATAATTATAATAATAGGCAGTGCAAATTTAGATATATACATACATACATATAGAGGTAGTGCAAATGAGAGTGAGAAATCAGAACTCTGTATTTGTTGTTAATTCTTCTCCCTGGATTTGCCTCATTATTCAAACTTTGCTTTATTCTGTAAAACCCTGAAGCGTAAACGTGTCGCTGAGCTCGAGACAAACTCCGGGACTCTGAAGCGAATCATCTCGAGCGGCGTCTCGTCGTTTCCCAGCAGATTAATCTGAATTGAAAAGTGGCCGGTTGAGGTGAAAAGCGCTGATTGGATTAGTGACGTAACCTCGTTATCTGCTTTCGCGGCTCCGAGTGTGTCGGCTGCTTTTCCTCACGCTGCCAGGACTCGAGCACTCGGTCTCTCTGCGGGGACTCGGCCTTCTGCTTCACGTCTTTAAGGCTGGAGTCGGACAGGAAGCTGCCGGGGACGTCTGAGCTTCTGCTTTGAACCTGAAGCTGCGAGCAGATAAAAACAACGTCTGGAGACACGATGGGCCCACTCGGGTCAAACGGTTCTCCCGTTAATCCACCAACATTTAGTGAACACCAGGTCTGAACAGCAGGGGGAGCTGTTTCTACGACTTCAACGTCCACAAGTAACACAAGCGCGTGTTTCGGCCATCTTGTTTAACGTTGTTTGTCGCCGTTTCTTCTTCGGTGGTGGTTCATCGGCGCCACCTGCAGCTCCACCGAAGCATTTTCACCACATCTTGACGCGCAGCGGCAGAAAAAGGCGAATTTGGAAGAAACCGTCCTTAAGTTTATACGCTCATGATCTGCTGAAGATGAATCCTAAACATCGCACTTCATTTCTTCTGCTGCCACGCTCAAGAAAATCCAGCTGAACACAGCAAATGTTACAACATGCTCTTTGAATTTGAATGATCCTGATCCCCAGAGGATGAACCTTTGAGCATTCCTGACCCTTTGTGGGCTTTTCTGCAGGTCCACCCTCAGGATAATTTATCTGTTAAACCGAGAAACAAAAAACCCAAACAAAGAAAATACGCCACAGATATTCGTAGTGCTCAGAGGATGAACCCAGACGATCGTACAGCAGTGGCTCAGAATCCATTACATATTTTTATGCAGTTAAAAAAGTTTTAAAAGTTTCTCAAAATGTTTTTTCGCTGCCTTGAGATTATTTTCAGAAGAAGAATTCATGATCTCCTGAAGATGAATCCTAAATACTGCCCCTTTTACTGCTGCCACTCTCAAGACAACCCACTGGTTCCCAACAAATCCTACAACAATTTTAATGGTCATGATCCCCAGAGGATGAACCTCTTTCCTTTTCAAGGCGCCACCTCCAGGACACTTTACTTACTTTGTTAAACTGAGAACCAAAAGCCCAAACAAAGACGAATCCATTCAGAAACATGTCACATATTCATACTATCCAGAGGACGAACCAGAAAAACGTCCAAAATTTATCAACAAAAAGTTTTTATTCTTGTTTGAGGTAATTCAGGATCTCCTGAAGATGAGTCCTGAAGGTTGTACCTTTTTCTGCTGCAACTCTCAAAGAAACCTACGTGTACACAACAAATTTTACAACCAAGCTGTTAAGTTTCACTTATTTTTAGTGATCCACAGAGGATGAACCTCTGAATTGTTTTAGACTCTGGAAGGGCGTTTTGAGGCACCACCTGCAGGATACTTTGGTTATTTTACTAAACTGAGAACAAAAATCCCAAATGAACATGAAATCATCGACTGTATCGCAGATGTTCAGCGTGTCCAGAGGATGAACCCAAATGTACAACAGCAGCCGAGCTGAAACTGTGACCTTCTTCTTCATAATTCCTCCATGTTTTTCTGCTTTCTTCTTCACGTTTGGATCTTCTTGTTTTTTTTTTAGCAGGGTCGTTTCTTCTTCTGCTCAGTGGCGCCACCTGCTGTTTGCTTCACCTTGTCTTTACGGCGCCACCTTCTGGTGACACTTTGATGCGACGCAGTCAATAGAAACGAGATTAGGTCACTTTCTTTTGTTGCAGTTTGCTTTAAACTCATGTGTATTCGGTAGCGACGGCGAGCTAAACCAGCAGCGCATCACCGCTGGTTTGCAGTCGACCAAACGTTGGGGGGATGCAGGCCGCCACCCGAACCCCTCCTCTGGTCCGTCTGGTTCTTCCAGTTCTGGAGGTGCTCAAAGGGTTCCCAGAGGAGCCGAGGCCTTTCAGATGCGTAGCGCCCCGTTGAGCAGGATTTCTACCCGGCGACAGAAGCGCTAACGACTCTTTGGCTGGAACCTGATCTGGTTTTACCTCCAACAGCTGACTTCATCCGCAGGACGCTTTGTAATGTTTAAAATGTGTTAACTTTACGTTTTGCTCCACATTTAAGGTTCAAGTTAACATGAAGTCACTTTTAATGACACAAATGTCATTAATTTACGTTTGACACCAGATTCACGGGTTAACTTTGGTGCTTTTTTGGACTTCTGACTTTATTTTTAATGTTTAAAATGTAATTATTTTACTTTTTACTTCACATTTATGGTCCAAGTTAATATTAATTAACTTTTAACTTTACTTTTAATGATATAAATGCCATTACTTTACATTTGACTTCATATTTAAGGTTGAAGGTGGTATTATTTCACTTTTGACTTGACTTTTAACCTTTTAAACGTCATTACTTTACTTTTTGCTTCGTATTTGCGGTTTAACTTGATGTTTTTTGTACTTTTAGCGTCACTTTTACTCTTTAAAATATGATTACTTCACTCGTGAGGCCATGTTTGAGGCCTCAGATGTCATCAGTTTGCTCCTGACTTGACTTTGAATGCAAACAAAGCTTCAAAGTGCGCTGATTGCTTCACCAACACCTCCCTGGAAACAGCAGCAGTTTTCTTCCAACCCCCCTCCGGCTGACGGTTGGCATCCTCTCTCTGTCTTTCTGCTCTCCAAATCCCGCGATATCTCACCCTTCCCCTCCCGCTTCTTCCCCGCTCAAACATCGCGATAGTTGCTGCTGCTGCTCCTGCAGTGTGGCTGGATGGCTTCTTATCTTTGAACACCTTAAAGTCGGCGCAGGACGATAAAACGAGCGCCTGGATGTGAAAGTTTACGCAGCAGAATGACAAAAAGAGCGACTTTAGAGTGAGTTGGAGGGAAAGTTGTGGATGAGTTAGCAACAAGTGGCGGAAATGTGAGTGTGGTGAGGGTTTAAAGTGCGTATTTTGTGCGTAAAGTTGTGGGTAAATGCGTAAACAGTGTGGATCTGTGGACTGGACATGGTGAGGAAACGGGATGCTGCTGCGTAAAAACGCAGAAGTAACGCGTGTCCGTGCGTAAAGACAGAGATGCTTGGTGGCCACGTCCCCTTGGAGACTGGAGAGACAACACGTGATGAGCTTTACTTATCAGGTTTAGAGGGAGAGAGACACCGAGACACGCCGAGAGAGAGAGAGCCGGAGGGGGGACGGAGCTGCTGGGAGTCCCGGCGCGCAAAAGACGCAAAAAATACATCCTGAAATTAACGCAGTTTTTCCTCTCGACGGCTGCTTTCCTCGAGTTTTTTTTTTTTTTTTTTTTTTTTAATTCTCCGGGAGAGGAGAGCGAAGGAAGAAGGGAGGAAGAGCCGCAGAGAGGAGGAGGAGGGAGGGAGGAGAGAGGAGGGAGGAGGAGGGGAGGAGAAGCCGGAGTAAAGTTTGTCCAAGTTTGCACATCCCTTCGGAAACGCCATTTTGATTCCTCTCCTCTTCGGAGCGAGTTTGCAGCTTCTCTCTCCCCCTTTTTCTTTTTTTTTTTTTTTTCCTTTTATCATCCACCATCATCCTCTTCATCTTCATCATCACCATCGCCCCCACCACCACCACCACCATCATCATCATCATCATCATCCTCGCCACGATGTCTCGGCGCAAGCAGCCCAACCCCAACAAAGTGAAGCGTAAGTCTGCCCGTTCTCTGCTTCTCCATCGCTGCCTTTTTCTCCGCTCTTCTGCCTTTCCGTCGATGTTTCCGCAAAAGTTTCCACTTGTTGCGGCTGTTTTTTGGGGTAGAACTTTGCGCGGAGATGTGAGACTCGTTTTTCTCTCCTCTCTCCGTGTTGCTTCCTAGTTTGATGCGCATCCAAGCGGTGGAATTCAGCCTCTTCCTCATTCACTTCAGCTAATTATCCGCCTGTGTGGGCTGCTTTTCTGCGCTTCTGTTGTTTTTATACACTTTTTGGTGCAACTTTTAACCCCCCCGGGGGCAGTTAGTGGGGCTTTTTGCCCCGCGGGGAGGGCGGCAGGACGGAGGGGAGGGGAGGAGGGGGGGGTTCAAAGTCTGCTCGCCGCCGGAGTCGAGCATCCATATCTCGGGTGCACTTTGGTCGGAGCCTCGCTGCTAGTGGCCATGTGTGAAGCTACCAGACAAGCTAACGGCAGCTAGCACCGCCGCCCGGGCCGAACCCTTTCACAATAAAACCACCTGTTGCTGCGCAGCGCGATGGGGAGACCTGTTGATGCAGATGTTCAGCTTTGTGCGCACTGAAGGTATTAGTGAGCAGATTAGTGATGATTTGGATGTTTTATCTGTTGCTGAATCGGTTGTTTGTCACTTCATACCTGCAGCTGATGATTGTTTCAGTTTCAGATTAAATGTCAGAAAAAGTTGAGTTTTGTCCACAAATGTTCAGTTTAGTGTCAGAAACCAGAAAATGTTCTCATTTTACAATCAGCAATCAGAGAAATCAACTAAAAAAGCAGCATTTTGGTGGTTTTGTCTCATAAATGTCAGAAAAAGTTTATTTTTTTGACGTCAGAAACCTGAATATTCACTTTTTCTATAAAAATCCTCCAAACCGACGATGAAACCGGCTGAAAGCTTAATCGATGGATCAGAGCAGCTGAAGGTGTTTTTTCTTATTTGTGAGCTCGTTTTGCTGCTTTATGTAAAAAATGAACTGAATAAAATCACATCAGAGGATTTTGTACTGGTACTGACGATCGGTTTGGGTTCAGTTTGGTCCCAAAACGTTCAGTTTACTGAAGGAGGAAAGAAACCAGAAAAATATCGTTTTTTAAAACATCTATTTATTTATATTCACATCTTATTGAAGGAAGTTGGAGGATTTAGACTTTTATTTTCGTAAAAAACAGTTCAAACACCGACTGACTGATGGATTCGTCGCTGCAGTTTCAGCTTTTTCTTCACTTTTGCTGTAAAACTTCACATTTTTATCTCCAGTTAGTGAATCAGTCGTTTGTTTGGGCGAAGAAAAGATGAAAAAGAGCAAAATATTCAGTTTGTCTGAAGACATTTAGAGTTTTTTGTCTTTAAAAATGACTCGAGTCGATGCTGAAAGTCGTTCTCTGTGAAGAGCTTTTATTGTTTTAATCCAGGTTTTTGTGAGTTTATTGACTTTTTTAACCGTTTGTCGGGATTTTGCTGAATTTCTGGAACGTCTTTGTGACTTTATTTCATCTCAGCGACTCCAAACGTTTAAATTCTGCTTTTTTTTGTTGTTGCTGCTTTCCTGGAACGTTATTGTGAGTTAATGCCTCAGAAGTGCTTTTATTTTGTATAAAACATCTTTAAATGTGACGCTGGTTCAGCTGCAGACACTTTATGAAGCTTTTAACTTTTAATTTCATGTGTTTTTGGTTTGAATTCAGCAGGAACGCTTCATTTCTGGGTTTATTTTCCACTAAAACGTAAAAACAATGATGTGGTTTTTCCTCTCTTTAGCTTCTTCTTTATAATATTTGGGGATCTGATCCAGAACCTGCTCATCCTGAGCTGGATGTTGTGTTCGGCCATCTTGCATCAGATGCTTGTGCAGGAAGTCCAGCGGCTTTCAGAGCATCTTGGTTCTGCTTAGAAGTGCATTAACTGTGACTTTAGGGGAGATTTTGTGCAGGAAGGTTCTGTTTTCTGGCCTTTCCAGCTCAACTTAAAGCGCGTTTTGTTCTGGTTTTGTGTCCAGGCTGCAGCTCAGAGTCCGTTTAGTGACTCTGAGCTGCTGTGGAGTCGCTGTGATGCGTCTGCAGCACGTTTTTATTTCTGCATACGGCCTCAGACGGTGCCTTTACATGACTACTCCTAACCTCTGGGCTCCGTGGTGCATCTTTATGGTACGATTGTGTCTCTTCGATCACTTAGAACGAGACAGTTTGAGTTTTGGGAGGCGTTCTGGTCCCTGAAGCTCCGCCTGATGTGTGGAGCTCTGCTTGTTGTGGGTTCTGTACATTCATTTGAATGCATTGTGTTGTGTTTATCAGCGGCTCTACGCGTCTGCAGCTGCATGAATCTGAGCTACGCTGCCTCCTAATGCCGTGTTTGTCACTGGTGGCAGCGTTTTACTGATTTTTCTGGTGATCTTTGTGTTTTTCTGTCGACTCCTAACCCTCACCCTCCACGGTGACTTCATGGTCCCTGTAGCTTCATGAACATGCTGTCATTTGTTCGTTTATGAGTGGCTTTGTTAGTCTGTAGCAGATACGGGCCTTATGGTGCATCTGTGTCATGCTTTAGAAGCTTTTACTTCTTTATTTTAACCTGTAGCTCGACTTTCTGTGGTTTTTGCTTCTATTTACATCAACTTCAGTGTATTTTAGTCTCCTGGAGCCTCAGAAACTCCTAGAAAAAGTGATTAAATCGCCTTTAAACGTTAGAAATCTTCATATCTCTGTTTTAGATGTAAGTTTGAGCCTGGCCACGTTGTGTTTTGTCCAGTTAGAAGGTAACGAGTCGTTTCAAGCTTTATTTTGAAACGACCGATGGCCTCGCTTCCGCTAGCCTCCGCGCTAACTGCCGCTAGCTGGACGCCGCCGCGGTGACCTTGTCCGGGAACATTTCGCAGCAAAGCGGCCGCAGCGCAGCGAGCAGGCGGCGGGACGCGGAGCCGCGGCGGCCCGCGGAGCCGAGCCGCCCGGTCCGGACCCGGTTCCGCGGCTGTTTGGCGACTTTTCGCCGCGTTTCCGACACTTTTCCACCGTCTCCGGTTGCAGCAGCAGCAGCAGCATCGACGTGACGCCTGTTGCATCCTCCTCCTCCTCCTCCTCCTCCTCCTCCTCCGGTGATCCGTTCCTCTCTTTCGACATCTTTAACTTCCATTTTAAACGTTAACTCGGGACTCGGTGTCGCCGTTAATCCGCCTCCAGCCGCCGGAGCCGCACTTTGACAACTTTTTTATTTATTTATTTATTTTTGTAGCAGCTAGCTTTAGCCGTTAGCTTCGTCGTCGGTGTTTTTTTCCGTTTTTCTTTCCTTTTCTTCCTCCTCTGTGGAGGAGGAGGAGGAGGAGGATGCTGCTGCTGCCGCCGCCGGTAAAAAGTCCGACCAGGTGTGCTCCGGTTACCGGCGGCTGTTATCGCTGCTCCGGTCAATCATTGACTCCGTGTCACTGGAACCTCCATCTGCAGCTCCGGCGGCACCAAACCACCATTTTAGCCCCAAAACGGCCTCAATAATCGATCAATAATCAATCAATAAGGGATCAATAACACTCAGTCTGACCCGCAGCTCGGGTCAAACTTCATCACTCCTCCTGGTTTGGAGTCAAACTGCGGATAAAGTGACTTTAAAGTGCGTTTATTGGAGTTAAAATCGAGTTTTTGTGAGTTTACGGAGTTTAAACTTCATGTTTGTTCGCTTTAGTTTCACTTTTCCTCTCCTGACCTCCTACTTCCTGATTCTAGCCTCACTTTTACTCTCTCCAGTTGAATTTTCTTCATCCTGCAGCTCAGTGGAACCAGAACAAATCATTAAAAACGTCAATAAAAGTTGAATTTCTTGGGTTGTTCATGTCACAGAACCTCTGGAGCCGACCCGTCCGGCGCCGTCCGACTGCAGTGCGTTTGGTTTTTGTACCAGCAGTCAGATAAACAGCAGCTCAGTGTGTTTTTAGGGGTTTTTAAGGCTTCGTTTGGAGTCAAATGTACCAACAAACAAACAAAATCCACTGATGTTGGTGCTTTGAGCTCTCATAGAGTCACAGTGACGTGTCTGCAGCTTCATTCATGATTCAAAAGTGCATAAAAGTGCATTAAATGTCACTTTAATTTGACTTTATGACACTTTAAGGTCCTCTTTGTGTTAATTTATGTGTAGATGAAGCAGAAATAAACCAACACCCTGCAGGATACAGAACACTGGTGCAGCTCCGACTCTGGTTCTGGTGCTTGGAGCTGCTGTGGGGGGACGTTGACGCATCTGTAGCTTAATTCATGCTTTAAAACTGCATAAAAGTGCATTAAATGTCTTTCTAATGTGACTTTATTGCACTTTAAGGTCCTTATTATGGCTTCTATTTCAGTTTTAGAGTTAATTTATGTGTATTTTAAACAGAAACTGTGACAAATTGTGTTTTGATGCAACTTTAAGGTCCTTTTTTGCTTATTTTAGGGTTCTTTGCATTAATTTAAGTGTATATGAAGCAGAAATAAACCAACATCCTGCAGGATAAACGACATTTCTGCTGCTCAGAGGCTGTTTTTTACACTTTGAGTTCTGGTGGAGTCACGGTGACGCATCTGTAGCTCAGTTTCTGCTTCGAAACGGCATAAAAGTGCTTTAACTTGACTTTATTCCACTTAAATTGTGTTTTGGTGCCTTTTAGAGCGGCTTAATTCCACTTTAAGGTCCTTTTTTAAAACTTTTTTAGTGTTAAAAGTGCTTTAAAGGTCAGACTAACTCCACTTCGTGGCCCGTTTAGCGTTTCAGGCTTCTTTGTGTTATTTTGGGCGTATTTGTAGCAGAAACACACCAACAGGATGAAGTCTTGGTGCAGCTCCTGGTCTGGTCCTGGTCCTGGTAGCTGCTGAGGGGGGACGCTGGTCCTGGTAGCTGCTGAGGGGGGACGCTGGTCCTGGTAGCTGCTGAGGGGGGACGCTGGTGGGTCCGCAGCAGGTTTTTGGGGACTCGGTTCAGACTTGGTGGCCCTTCAGGCTTCTGTCAGGAGGT